ATGCCTTGGACGTCCACAGACCTTTTGACACGTGAGAAAAAGAAACATTCTCTCTTTCTAGGGGCCCAGAAATACCTCAGTGACTGAAGAGCCCAGGGGAAGAGTGTGTGTGTGTGTTTGTGGTTGTGTGTGTGTGTGTGTGTGTGTGTGTGTGTGTGTGTGTGTGTGTGTGTGTATGTTAAACCCCTGGTGCCTCTGTGTGAGCTGAGGTGATTCTGACCATCAGGAGACCCTGACAACGAAACAGAACAAGCTGAATTCTGACTTGCAGAACTCAAACATTTCCTTACTGGGGGCCCCGCTGCCAACCTTAGGAGTGACTCATTTAGCCTTACATCCACATTTTCTGGGGTGCAGGCCAAGAACTGAGGTGAAGGTCCTGGCGCCTGGCCCCCTTCCTTCTCTTCCCATGTGACACTGTCCCCTTTGTCCTCTCTCCTCTGAGCTCTTGCCTGGGCTAGCAGACTTCTGGCCACTCTCTAGGATTAGGGTACACCATTAGGGTCATTTGGCTACTTAAGGCTCCTCATCTAGTCACAAGCCATACAAAGGTGGGGAGGGCACTTGTCTTGCCTGTAGCTGACCCCGGTTTCACCTCCAGTACCACATAAGACCCCCTGAGCATTTTCAGGAATGATCCCTGAGTATTCCAGGAGTAAGCCAGGAGTAATCCCTGAGCACTGCTGGGTGTGCAACACCCCCCCTCCAAAAACAAACAAAAAAAAACCTCCTCACCTAGCATTCTTTTGTCACAGAAGCCCGACAGAGGCATACTTCTACCCCCCAACCTTCAATCCACATTTTTCCAATGAATTTTCCCAGGGGAAAAATGGAAGGTGGGAGTTAAATGGGTCTCAGGGGCTCTCGAACGTTTATTGGTTTGTTTATTTAGGATTGGGGGACACACGTGGTGGAGCTCAGGGCTCACTCCTGGCTCTGTACTCCGGGTCACCCCTGGTGGTGACTTGGGACCATATGGGGATCGAAGCAGAGCCAGCCCCATGCAAGCAAGGCAAGCATTTTACCTTCTGTAGGACCTAGCTACTGATTATGGTGGGGAGGGGATGGGGGCCCACGCAGTGATGCTCAGGGTTCACTCCTGGCTTTACACTCAGGGTTCATTCCTGGCAGGACTTGGGGGACTGTAGGGGGTGCTGGAGATCAAACCTGGGTCAGCTACATGCAAGATAAGCAAGCGCCCTACCCGCCGTACTATCTCTAGAGCCCTCGATCAAATCATTGACATAGAAGTTCAATGATTCTATGTCTCTGTGAAATGACAGTTATAGCAAATATCCTTCCCCGTCTTCGCCAGGCTAATTCTCATTTCTCAGGACTCACTCAGGCCTTCCCTCCTCCTCCCCAGCCTGCCGTGTGAACGGAGCCCCCGGCTGAGTTCCCTGGACCACCCTATTACAGCCCTTCTCTGACTAGGCTATAATTGTCTCTAAATTAATGTGTGGGTTCCCCGCCAGCCTGCAAATTCTAGGGGGACAGAGACCCGTCTTTAAGGCTGCGCCCTCAGCGCGAATTCCTAGCAGGAGTTTGATGACACATTTGATGAGATGAGATGAGTAGCTGGTTCTTCAGAGCCATTCCCTTCAGCGAAGGCTGCAGTAAATGACATTCATCTTCGTTCTCCTGCCTGCATTTAGAAACAGCCTTGGAGCCTATGTACTGCAAGCGCACACTTAATGAATCACGTTACCACATTAATTTCTTTAAGGGAAAAGATGAAGGGGATTAAAAAAAAACTTTCCATTTTTATGGCTAAAGAAGCCCAGACTATTACACCCGGTTCAGTTCTCATTAATAAAATAGAAATGCTTTGCCTGCTCATCTAAGCTCCTCAAATTAATCTAAAGCCTGATTGTCCCAAAGCATTACTAATTATATAGCAATGTCATTTGTATTGAAAAATTGGAAAGGACATACAGAGCCAGCCACAGAGAGATGGTTAATGAACTCTGACATTCAACTGGTGAATGAAATGCAGCCTTTGATAATGGTTCCGGCAACCAATCTGAAGTTCAACAAGATCTGAACTAGCAGGAACTTGACTGCCACTGGGCAAAGTAGGCAAACATAATCATACAAGACAGAAGAGATGCTAGAATTTTGCAAAAATTTTTAATTTTTTTCAGGGATCCTTCCCAGTGCTTGGGGGTCTGAGGGATCATAACCATAACTGATCTGAACTTGACGGTTTGGTGCTCAGGTCTGGCGGGACTGGAGGTCAGCTCCTGGGCCGTGCTAAGGCCCTGAGCTCCAGGACTGGGCCTGGTCACATGCAAGGTGAGCATTCCACTTCCTCGAGTTCTCTTCCTGGCCCACAGATTTTCTTAACGACATTTCATAATTTGTTCTCATGGTGAAAAAATTAAAATCACCCACGTAACTGCTAATTGAGGCCATCTGGCTATTTGCTGCTATGGGTTTTGATCACCCGGGTGGGAGATGAGGCCTCCCAAGCCTGAGGTGCTAGTCTGAACCTTGGCAGCACAGAACAAGAAGGTGAAGATCAGACGAGCTCAGGAAAACATCTCTTGCTCCTGGTCCTGGGTGTGTCCATCTATGAGAGAGCTGCTGAAGCAAAAGAGAGGCCCGTGGGACTCTCTCAGAGGCCTGCCGACCGGCGGGGCAGTAACAGACACTGGCCTTCTTGTCCCGTGTCCGTGTAGGAACAGCAGGAAATGGGTGATGCGGTCACGCCCGCGTGATGCTGAAACTAGGCCTTAGAGGGGCTACTCCGTGGCTGGTACTTGGAGGAGCTCCAGCATCTGGTCCCGATTACCACAACCTGCCATTCTCTTACTCTGTGAGACTGGAGGAAAGAGGCCACATTTAGGTTTTATTTCTTGGTTTTGGGGGCCACACCTAACTGTACCAGGGCTTGCTCTCAGCTCTGTGCTCAGGGGCTACATTTCTAAATCAAACTTCCGGGGCTGGAGCTATTGTACATCAGGGAGGGTATTTGCCCTGCACATGGCCGACCCGGGTATAATTCCCAGCATTCCATATGGTTCCCTGAGCACCGCCAGGAGTAATTCCTGAGTACAGAGCCAGGAGTGACCCCTATGCATCACCAGGTGTGACCCAAAATGCAAAAAGAAACAAACAAACAAATAAATAAATAAACAAATAAAACTTCCTTGGAAAAAGAGTCAGTGTCGGACAAGGACAGGCTCCCTCTCCACTTTCAGGACATTCTCTCAGTGTTCACCCCACCCTACCTGTCTTATGGATGGTTCTCCAGAAACCACTTGTCCAAACTATTATTCCAAGGCTGTAACCAGAGTGCGATCCATATTTCTCCATTTCTGCACAGCAATACCCTCCTTCCGGGCGTCAAGCCAATATTAATACTTTCATGTGGCTACCTTGGCAGATGTTGACCAACACAGATCCTGCCCATGCCAGCCCCCGACCCCCGGGTGCACACCAGTGATTCTTTCTTCCCAGTACAGTGGCCAGCAAGTCTGAACAACATGAGGGTTAAGTCACCAACAAAACCATGAAGTTAAAAATCTACAGTTCCCTTTGGGTTTTGGGTTTTCCCCCAGTCAATTGGAAGTCCTGCCATTGACATAAACTGTATGTTAAGATAAAATCTATGTGCTATATGTATTACAGACTGCAGCACTGCACTGTCCTCCCATTGTTCATAGATTTGCTCAAGCGGGCACCAATAATGTCTCCATTGTGAGATTTGTTGTTACTGTTTTTTGCGTATTGAATACCCCATGGGGAGCTTGCCAGGCTCTGCTATGTGGGCGGGATACTCTCGGTAGCTAACTGGGCTCTCCGAGAGGTACTAAGGAATCAAACCCGAGTTGGCCGCCTGCAAGGCAAATGCCCTACCCACTGTGCTATCACTCCAGCCCATTACAGACTGTATTATTACAATAATCTAGAAAAATTGCTATTTAGAAAATCAGGGGATTGGAGCAATAGTACAGCGGGGAGGGCATTTGTCTTGCACGTGGCTGATTCGGGTTTAAATCCTAGCATCCTACATGGTCCCCCAAGCACCGCCAGGAGTAATTTCTGAGTGCAAAGCCAGGAGAACACCTGAGCATCGCCGGGTTTGACCCCAGAAGAAAAAAAAAAAGAAAAGAAATTCAGAAGGGAAAACACATGTTTTACAGTACAATACTGCATTTGTGGATTCCCCACATTTCCATTCTCTGTTCACAAGAGAACCTGCACCTAATGGCCACACTCATTTCAAACCCATGCAGCTGAAATGAAGGACAATCTGCATTGACAGCCTTCCTCTGAGGAGCCAAAAGCAGGCCCACCCTAGAGTGGAGATGGGTGGGCGCCTCAGCTGACACTGTCTCCCATCTTGCACAGGAAGGCGGGGCTGCAACACAGCTCAGTAGAAGAGCACATGCTATTCCTGTGTGAGGCCCTGGGTTCGATTTCCAGCAACACACACACACACACACACACACACACACACACACACACACACACTCCCAGGAGTGGGCCGCAGGAGACTTCACTCCAAGAGAACAGGACAGAGCCCCTGACTGTGGGGAAAATGCCTCAGGGAAGGAAACCAACCCCATATGGATGGAAAATGGGGACCACAGGGGCACCCGTGCAGGCTGGCCAGAAGGGAAGAACCACGGGCTTATCTGAAACCCATTTTCACATAAAAAGTAAAGACTAAGCGTTTGAACAGGGAAAACTCAATAACCAAGAGGGAATGAATACAGGGCCAGAGAGATAGTACAGCCGTAGAGTACTTGCCTTGCACATGGCTGACCCGGGCTCAATCATCAGCACCCCATATATGGTCTCCCAAGCCCACCAGGAATGATTCCTGAGCACAGAGGCAGGAGTAAGCTTTCCCCAATGCCAGGTGTGGCCAGGGGGAAAAATAGAGGAAGTGAAGAAGGAGAGATGGATGGAAAAGGAAGACCAGCCCGTGGGGGAACTCCCACACCAGTTGCTATGTCTGCCCTGTGTGTCTGCGCTGGGCGCTCACTTACTTTCTCTGGATCCGAACCACCGGGTCCGCCAGCAGGTCCGTGAAGTCCAGCTTTCTCCCCTTCTCGATGACGTCCCGATGCTTGCGGACAAACAGCCACCCGATGTGGGAGAAGAAGAAGCCACGGCGGGCGTTGTGGGGGTCAGCGTCGGTCTCAGAGTACTTGTGGTGGACTCGGTGGTCCCTGGACCACTCGAAGATGTCATTCTGCAGAGAGAATGCAAACCCTGAGCGAGGGCCAGAGCCCGAGGCCTTCTGAGGCCTCCTCAGCAATCCCTGCCACTGCGTTTCCCTGCCTCTCGCCCTCACCCTCCATCCACCATCCTTCCACCAGGTTCTGGCCCTGGACCCCCCCCCCCCCGAGATAGCTTTCATCAGAACAAGAGAAAACTCACTTTGCGAGGATCTTTGCTAAGATCAGGAGGTTCACGCCTGTGGAGTGAACTAGTGGGGAGACCTCAAAGGAAGCCTGGGGGGCACTTTTGAAATCTCTTGGGAGATCGGACGTGTCACGGAAGGAGAATACTGTGCTGGAGAGATAGCACAGTGGGTTAAGGCGCTGGCCTGGGCTGGAGCGATAGTACAGCGGGAAGGACATTTGCCTTGCATGCGGCTGACCCTGGTTCAAGTCCTGGTATCCCATAGGGTCCCCAGAGCACCACCAGGAGTAATTCCTGAGTGCAGGACCAGGAGTAACCCCTGAGCATTGCTGGGTGTGACCCAAGAAGCAAATAAACAAATAATGGTAATAGGACAGGAGAGGTGGAGGTGAGGAATAAGGGCCCTGGAGGAGGGGGCACATGCTTTGCACACAAGAATCTCTGTATTGGGGACGAAGCGATAGTACAACAGGTAGGGCATTTGCCTTGCATGTGACCGACCTGGGTTCGATCCCTGGCATCCCATATGTCCCCCAAGATCCGCCAGAAGTACTTCCTGAGTGCAGAGCCAGGAGTATCCCCTGACCATTGTTAGGTGTGACCCAAAAAGCAAAAAAAAAAAAAAAGAATCTCAGGACTGATCTCTGGTACCACATAATCTCGTTTGGTACCACTAAGAGTGACCAAATATGAAAAAGTAATAACATATCCACCATATTTTTCAGCATTGGTCCCATTTTCTATAGAATCTGCCAGTTCATAGATATAGGCTTTATCCAGCTGTTAAAATGGGAAAGAACTAGTATTTTTAATTTTTTTTAAATCAAAGTTCTAGTAGCTCTTGATTTATTTGGACTTGGGGTCGTGCTGGCAGTGCTAAGGGCCCTCCTTGTTATGTACTTGGGGATCACTCTCACCATGTTTGGGGAATCAAGTGGAACCAGGATCTAACCCAAGGCAAGCATGCTAGCCCCTTGGACTCTCTGTCCAGACTTTTGAGCATTTCTTTTAATCAAGAGGGAATTCGCTGAGGTTTTAATTTCCCTGGGTCACTTGAAGCTTCTGGAAGATAACTCAACCTTATTCATCCTATAGTGCCGCTGAAAAGTTTCAAAAAACTCTTAGGACAGAAGAAAGGAAGGTAAAAAAACCCTTAAGAAGAATATGTTCCATTTTAAATATAAAGGAATAAAAGGGGTGCTTAGCAGTCTGTGTAAAGCGAAAAAAAAAGAAATCAGATCCGGACTTATTGCTAAGGACGAGGTCTTTAGATCTTGGCAGTGTATTGAAACACGGCGGTTGGAAAGAATAAAAGCATTTATTATTTATCATCACAGAATCGAGAGTTGGAAAGAAACTTCAAATGCCAGTCAGGACCACTGCAGTCCCGGAAGAGCCTTGCATATCTCAGGCTCTGGGTTCGACCCCTGGCACCAGAACAAAGAACAAGGCAGCCGCAGTCCCAGAAGGACAGTTGCAGGCAGGACCCCTGACTATGCGGATTGAACAGACACGGATTGACCCAAAGGCATGGAGGCCTCTGAAAGGCAGGGACCTTTTCAAAGCCTGGAGAACCACTGAAATAATACAGATGTGCCAGGACTCCCATAAAAATACCCCCACCCGAAACTGTCTGCCATAGAGGCAGGGTGAGGACTGGGATGGGGGTGGGGGAAGATACTGGGGACATTGGTGGTGGAAAATGTGCACTGATGGAGGGATGGATGTTCGATCATTGTATGGCTGAAGCTCCAACATGAAAGCTTTGTAAATCTATCTCATGGTGATTCAACAACAACAACAAAGTACCCCCACCCCTCAGCACCAATCTTGTGACAGGCTTTGGGAAGCAGTTTGGGAAAACCTTATGAAAACTAACTTTGTGGGGGCAGACAGATGAGAGGGCATTGGTTTGCCTTCCACACAGCTGACCTAGGTCTAATCCCCAACATGTAGACACAGTTCCCTGAGCCCTGCCAGAAGTGATCCCTGAGCACAGAGCCAGGCGTTGGGATAAGTCTTGAGCATTCCTGGGTGTGTCCCCAATACAAAACCAAACCCAAGCTCACTTCCCAGAGGTCCAGGGAGTGCATCTCCCCATAGTGGGGGGGTCACCTGCCTCTCTTCCTGGAGTGTGGTTATTTTCTTTGACTTTATGGAATGCATGCTCCGTCTCGGAGATGCCTGAGCATCCCTACTTGGGACGTGTGCTTGGCTCTCTGCACTCTGGAGAAGGACAGGTTCTATCCTGGGCGCGTAACTCTCTTTCTCCCCCCTCAGCATCTCCCAGTAAATGTATCTTACTTCAGTTTTCATCTCCTTCCTGAAATCGTTTCTGTGAGCCTGGAAAGCACATGTGTGGAGGTCAAGAGTGATCTTCCCACTTCCTACAAAGAGCAGTTTCTCACTCCAGTCTGAGTTCTGTGTTTCCTGGAGACCCGGGGGCCAGGGGTCGGGAGCCTGGGGTTATTCTCCCAAACCATGTAGAGCAAGTGAACTCTGGTGCATTCTGGTGACTGCCTAGTATGGTGGGACAAAAGTGTCTATGCCACTTAGGTGCTCATGGCAGATTGGCTCAGTCCTGAATATCCCAGGCCACCTGGGTAACCAAGGTGGGTAAAGAGGATATAGCAGAACTCGCTCTCAAGGGTGCTGCCTCCCTCCTCCCACGTCACATGACACACTGCAATAAGACTCTAAGCCCAAGACAATAGTTGATTGCTCCTATACTATGCCCCCTGCACATCGGAAGAAAGGAGAATATGCTGTGCCCAATCCACAGATGGCAAAATCAAGGCTCAGGAGTCTTTCGCTAAATTCATTGGATAAGTCCAAACAGTCAAGTCAACCATGACAGCATCCACTCCGTTCTGAGTTCCTAGTCCTTTCCATTAGGTATAGAAAGCCTTTTAGGGAGAAGTCTGGTTGTTTTCATGGAGAAAAGTTAAATGTCTTTCATCTGTAGCATAATAGTTTTACACAGGCTCTAAGTGGAGAGCTTCGAATGCTTGGAAACATTATTCTCAAAAAAATATCCTAATGCAACAAGAACAAGATGAGGAAGACCGAGTGAAGCAGAAATATTTGTTTTCATTTCTCGTACCTGGACACGTCCACAGAAGCCACTCAGCAGTGGCGGGGAATGCAGTCCGGGTCTGGCCCGCTCCAAACCGGGAGCATAAGATCGATCCTCACCGAAGCACTTTAAGATGGACTTTTCCCTCCCTCACCTTTGCTGGCCTTTGCTTTCACTTTTCGCTCCAAAGCTGAGCTCAGAACAGGACAGAAGCCAGCGCCGGGCTGGCAGGACACCAAAGCACTTTGTCCCACCCCCCACGGCGCCTCACTTCCACTGGAAGTGACTCGGGAGGAGGGGGGAGAACCACCCGTGAGCAGCTTCTGTGTCTGAGCAAAGCCCCGCGTGCTCAGGGAGTGTCCGTGCTAGAAACACGTAGGGCAGGTGGGGCCGAGCCCAGCAGGTGGGTGTAGGCGCGGGCAGCCAGGGCGGCCAGCGGTCCCGGGCACCCACTCGCCTCTTCCCTCAGCCTGACACGGTGCCACTGAGCTCGGGTCCCCCCAGCATGCTCCTCAGACAGCAAAGGGGGGCTGGACTCAGCGGCCAGCCACCCTCAAGTCTGCGGATTCCCGGCCTGCTGACCTGGATACGGCTGGGGTGGGCTGGCGTCTGTGGCCACTCCTGAGGCCCACACCCCCAAAAATTCTGAGACATCATTGAGAAGGAATCACACCCCACTTGGTCTCTCTCTATACATATCTGTACACATACATACACTCTATATGCATGACTGTTACTGTCACTGTTCATCAATTTGCTCGAGCGGGCCCAGTAACGTCTCCATTGTGACAATTGTTACTACGTTTGGCATATCAAATATGTCATGGGCAGCTTGCCAGGCTTTGCCATGAGGGAGAGATACTCTCGGTAGCTTGCCGGGCTCTCCGAGAGGGGCGGAGGAATCGAACGCGGGTCAGCCATGTTGACTGCATGCAAGGCAAATGCCCTACCTGCTGTACTATCACTTCAGCCCATCTATATGCATATATACATCTCTCTATATGCATATATACATCTCTCCATGCAATATATACATATACATACATATATACATCTCTCTATATAGATATATAGCACTGTAGCACTGTCCTCCCATTGTTCATTGATTTGCTTGAGCAGGCCCAGTAACATTGTGAGACTTGTTACTGTGTTTGGCATATCAAATACGTCATGGGTAGGTTGCCAGGCTTTGCTGTGTGGGCAAGATACTCTCAGTAGCTTGCCAGGCTCTCTGAGAGGGGCAGAGGAATCGATCCTGGGCTGACCGGGTTGGCTGCATGCAAGGCAAATGCCTTACCTGCTGTGCTATCACTCCAGCCCTATATAGACATATATACATACCTATATATAAATCTCTCTATAGCCTATATATACATATATACATCTCTCTTTTTAGACATGCATATATACAACTCTCTCTATATGCACATATATACATTATACATCTCTGTATACATATATACATATCTATATATTCATCTCTCTATAGCATATGTACACATATGTACATGTATATATTACATCTCTCTATGTATACATCTCTCTATATGCACATATATACAATACACCTATATACATCTCTCTAGATACATATATATACACATCTGCTTCTGTCTCTGTTTTTCTGTCTCTCTGTGTCTCTCTCTGCCTCTGTCTCTCTCTTTCTCCCCACCCATCTCCCCTCCTCTTTGGTTTTTGGACCACACTGGGCAGTGCTCAGGGCTCAATTCTGGCTCTGAGCTGCTTAGGGG